ATTGTTAGAACTGATTTCTGAAGGTAATATCAATGTTTTTCTCATTTGATGGTACCAAGATTTTTCCCCACCGCTCTCCCCGTGTATGAATCTCTAATTTGCGAATCAGGTGGCCTTGTAATTCATAAACCAATGCCACAAATGCTAGCACGATTTCGAGGAGAAGTCGACAGCATGGCGCACCCCGGAAGGGACTGATCGATTTCTTATCTTTATGAATTTCGCTTTTTTGTTGCGATTACCATGTTCGGTGTACTGTACCAATAGAACTCCTTCAGCACATAACTATTTATGAACAATTATGCTTGCAGGAATCGGTGGAGCTGGCGTAGTCGGCCTGTATCGCTTAGGATTCCCATCAAGTACCTGCCCGCCAACCAAATCTCCAAAAAACATGGGAGCTCTCGAATCTGATGTTGTTTTCGAAGAGATCAAGCAACGTATCAATGAGGTAAAATTACTTCGAGCCAATCGATTTTTATTCTCCAACCTGAATTGCGCTTTTCATTACTTTCTTTATGATTAACAGGTAGCAGTGAATCAGTTATTCATAGCTAAATAATAGAAATAAGGTCAAGGTTTGGTTTAATGCAAACTTGCGTGGATAGTCAATATTCTGAAAATTATGGGAATAATAAATTTGCATAAAGACTATTATTATTCCAACTTTTCAATTTTTTTCTTCGTTTTCATTTTTATGCAAGTTTCTCGTTCCAGGAAAAAGATCTCGTCAAAAAGACTGCCACATCATTCAGAATGATTATTACCGGAGAAGACGGCAGCGTGAAGAAGTGGACTGTTGATACCAAGGTTCGCTTTTTTATTTTCCCCTTTGGGTGTGGGTCAGGAGATCTCACTTGTGGCTGCGCGTCGAAGTTAGGTGGGCGCGTACGCGACGGCTTATGCTCGCTGCGGCGAGTAGCGCGTATGGCGTGCGTGACTGTGTCAGCGACCTACCGCCGCCTCGCCGCGATCTGAATCCCCTGACCCAAGTCCATTTTTGACATGCTGTATCTTGAGAATACAGTCCATTTGAGGATTACGGTAGTTGCTGAAATTGTCCAAGGGCAACAGAGTACTTAAAAATGCGTTTTCCAGAGTGAACCGCCGTTTGTTGGACATGACGACAGGACTGTAGAGGTAGAGCTGAGCATCAAAGACAGCGACTTTATGAGAATTGCTGCCCGGAAAACTCAAGCCTGATCAGGTAAACATTTCCCACTGGGCTGTTTACGACAACAATCCAACCAAAAATTATTTCAGGCATTCATGCAAGGCAAGATGAAACTGAAAGGAAACATCGCAAAGGCGATGAAATTGAAAAACCTTCTCGACGCGCGCAAGAATGCTCAAAGCAAAAATTTGAAATGTTTCTCATCGTCAGCCTTATTATCCACTATCGAAATCAGTGATTTCCGAAGTGCTAGACTGAAACCAACCATTGCCTCAAGACGTTTCCATTAATAAATTATTGTTACTGGCGATTTCTGACATTTGAACTGAACTGTTAACTATGGCTATCTTTCAAAAACTCAATATTAGCAATACATGGCAGTACGTGAAGCTATTTGATTGACGTGCCGTGCAGTAGTTCTGTGCTGTCCTTGCTGACATATGAGATACGTCTTCATGGAATCGGGCTATCAGAAGTCATAGGAGAAGCCGTAGAGGATAATTGTAGAAAGATAAATAACAAATGATGTGTGGACATTCCTGTGGAAATCATTAGGTGTCGGTTTTGCGTTTCAGAAAGCAATTTATTATTAGGTTGGAAAGAAAGTTCTGCAACACTCTTTCCAAAATTTTCTTTTTTTCTGAAAAATTCATAGGTAACATTTATGACTACCAAATGATAGAGCATTCTCAAGGCTTCAATCCACGAGGTGGATATAAGTTCTGCAGTCAGTAGTTATCCAAGAAAATTCAAAAAATCTCGACCACTAGCAAATCCGTACTCCGAGTCACTGTCTAGTACAAATGTCTACAAAACCATGGATTCGTGTCAACGACTGACACTATCTGCAATAGCTTCTAATGGCATGCCGTTCAGCGCTACAGCGTGTTTCACCTTTACCAGCGCTTCCGATCTTTTGATATTTTTATAAGAAGCCAGCAGCGTCCCTCACACTCCATTACAGGTAGGGCTCTTACAGAAGCTCCACTACATACCTTCGTTATGGGCACCATTGTGTAGGCAGTGGCCTAGGTTGTGGAGTACCAGAAGCTGGCCGAGGTAGCTCGTCAAGAGCCCTCGTACCGCGACAATATTCATTTCTTTCATGACATTGCGAATCACCATGATCCGAAATGAGCCCGGTAAGAAATTCTGGAGTTGCGGCAAGATTTCTGCTACCTATCCTGGACCTTTAATCATCATCTTTATAACGAAATAATCAGACGATCAACTCCAACTCGAAAGTGAGGTCGCCTCCTTTCTCGACTCGCACTCCGCTGGGTTTTGGCAAGGAGGATCAAGAAATTTTCTGAGCGATGGAGACAAGTGGTGGACACTCATGGTAGATATAAGACCGGTCAGAAGTTGTAACCAAAAAAGATAAAATTAAAATCAAAAATTTGAAAAAGTGTTGCAGGACTTTCTTTCCAACCTAATATATATGCGTATTCTTTTGCTTCGTTATCGCAAGAAACGTAGTATCGCTTGGATTGCAGCTTACGTGGGTCCAGGAGCTTCGGGAATACCTTGACTGGGTGAGCTTACCAATCAATGGATTTCTGTACCTTACGCGCTTGGGTAACATTCATACTATACAAATGACGCACAAAAATTAAAAAAAACAAAACAAGTACCGCCCTTGCAATCGCTAACCCTATTTTGCCTTCATGGTAATTGTTACTTCTCCTTTCTGAAAAATTATCGACTTCGATTGACATTACGTACACCAATCTCAGTAAAACGGTATCGTGAATACCGTGTCATCAGTTTGGAAGCAAGGCGGTCGAAAACCTCGTTCAACTCTAGATCTGAACTCTCTTAGATGCAGAGCTGCTCTCTGCTGAGGACGTAAGTAGTGTGCATACCTGAGGCGCAATTAAGAAAGTATAAGCCTTAGGTGCACAAAATACAAAATAACTCGAAAAGGAGAAGTGTGGTTCCTTAGCGTTGGGAAAATATCGCCGCAATGTCGGAAAGGTCGGATCCTTTTCTATAATCGAGGGTCACCGTGACACCAGATACCTACGGCGATAAACATTCAAACTTTTTTCTTGGAGCCGTGCCCGTGCCTGGACCTCCGTAATGGTATGCAAAACAGCGGCGCAAATTACCCCCGCACGTCATAAGGGAACAAATTCTGGGTCAAATTTCCCGCCAGCCAAAATCTCCATTACTCTTGTGATCGCTTAATGTATGCTAGACTATCTAATTGTCTACGAATAAATAAAAAGTAAACTGATTTCTTATCGGCTGTCCCCCGCAATTCATTGTATAGGCCAAATCGCATTCGAATTGCCACTAGAATTCCTAATGGGAGTAAATGCGTGGCGCATTCTGAAACGGGCTGCTCAACACTGAACGCATATTTTTTATAATTTATCGATATGCCTGCGCTGCTTGCAGCCCAGGCAAGAATTTTGCACGTAACATCTCTTGTTATTGTGTTCTGCACGCGGTAACTCTCTCAAGGGTACCTTTGTATACCCGCTTTCAATAATTTCTGCCTTATGTGATTCTATTCTGTGCATCCTTCTTGTTTTCATGAATCAGCAGACGCTGTTCCAATCAACAGAGATGCCTTGTTTTGGTTTTTTTTTTTTTTTTGTTTTGGTTGCCTGGCCACAAAGCCATCAAATTCGAAGCCAGCTTACCCCACCGGAAGACAAGCAGTATCTTCTTCCGCGACGACCTATCAACATTCGTCATTTGATGTTTTTTCCTTACCTGCAACTGACGGCGTTTCTGTCCTAGGACTTTGGTTGTGGGGGGGGGGGCAGTTTGACGAAGCTGACCCTTTTCATAATTATGTATTTTGCCATTTTCACGACCCAACAAGTAGACGGCTATCAGAAACAACAGTTCGTAGTTGAGCTGTGGAAGTATCGGCCCTTCCTCATTTCAGCGACTAGAGTTATTCCCTATTAAAGACTTCAGACCAGGCGATCAAAATTTTGCTATGTTTTCGGTAGGAGTTCTGAGAGGGTAATACACTGTCTCAATTTCGTGAATACCTTCAACAGTGCCAACCTTCGTAACCGAAGAGTATAATATGTTTCGGAAAAATTTCCCGAAGTTAGGGTATCAAAAACGTCATATGGATCAAAACTGGGGCCATTTTTAATGAATTCGCAAGCAAGCTGTAAGTGGGGGCTCTGCTGTGTGTCAACTCCACGTAATGACTTGTATCCCCTTTAAACCCACCCCTCAAATTAATTCAAAAAGGCACAAGTAATATTTATTTATTTATTTGTTTATGTTAAAAACACGCCATAAAAAAGAATCAAACTAGCATGAAGATAAAAGAGATTTCTCAAACAAGAACTGTAATAATACTAGTAACAAAGCAATCGACCTGAGGTTGAATTTCCAAACTATTTGTAAACCACCGGAATACTCGAAAGGAGACGGATGGGCTTGCAGGCCAAGCGGTCGCAATACTTCGGCGAACTAGTGAGAAGTAGGGGAGAGGATAGCACTTTGTTTTGTAAGATTGGTAAGAATAATATCAACTTTCAGTACAGAATAATTTAATAATGAAAGAACTTCAGGTGTAATAGACAGAATACTCCAATTATATATCAAGCAAAAAAAATTTCACTGTATAGCCATTCCGAAATTGGAGCAAAGAAGATTTTCCTCTTTAAATTTCGTAATAGCCCTTCAATAAGTAGTCGATTTTCCGTCCTATGAAACAACGAGAATGCAGCGAATCGTTCTTTTTCCCCCCGAGGAAATGCTTCCATGGCAGCAAAATTCGTTGACGGCAGTCCATGGAGACCTAAAATTGGCGATTGACCCGCCCTTCCGGCCACATCGGGGCTCGTCCGCGTATGCAAGTCGTCACTGAAAAAATCCGTTTTTGGATTTAGCGTCACGAAGAAAGTCGTCAATCTCAACTATGCAGCAAGAATGTTTGCAAAAGCTCTATAGGTTTGGCGTATTTCTGGCTATGCTTGGCATTTCTCCAAAGATTGTTTTCCTGGCTGATTCACTAAATATGATTTCAATCGTTTTGAATGGCTCCTTCTGAGAGAGTTTCTTCTTAGGCCCCTTCAAGGCAGATCCAACTTTCTTTGTTTTAACCTTTTATTATTCTTCTGGAGCTGTGTGTGCATTTTACCAATTCAACCGAATTTTTCTACATAGCGTTAGCGTGGTGCTCCCTCCAAAGCCTCAACTTGTTCCTAATTCTCGAAAACCTTAACCAAACACCGCTTCAACTCATATGTTTCTTACCCTAATGCCCTAGAAGAGAAACTGGTTAGCTCACACATTCCACACTCTTCAAAAGCCTTGGGCGGGTTACCGATATCACCATTACTTTTCAGGCCACCTCCGCAGTTTACTGTGATCAGTTTGTGACAAAATCCTTCCAGATATTAGTTAGTAAATAATTCCTTGAATATACATTGAGCAGAACGTCTTAATGAATATATTAGAGGAACAATTCAGTACTTTTAGGTTGAGCAATCGCCAGCTGGAGGAATAGCGCGTAAGAGAAAGTGCCCCGTAAGAGGAAGTGCACGGCGGCAGCCTAGCAAAAACATACTTTTTAAATTGTATCACTTCTTTTGCTTCACGAAAGCTCTTCCCAGCGTCATTTCTGTTGGAATGTTGTCTTTGTTTGATCCGTCTTATTTCGATTTTTTCTCTGACCTGACCAAATTCCTTCACGAGAATTCATCGGTGGATGGGAACTCCGCCAGGTGATTAAGAATCTGTTGAGACACGCTGGTTGACTCTAACCTTGCATTTTTCGCAACCAAACGCACGCAGTCTATTCCTAAAATAATGAATCTAAGCCCAGTAGTTGGGCGGAAGTGGTGTAGTGGCAAGTGGCACGCTTACCACGCGAGCGGTCCGGGGATCAAATCCTGGGTCGTGAGTCGCCCGGGCCAACCAAGCCTTCCATCCCTCCGGGGTCTTACTTGAAAAACACTGACTTGTACATCGGCTGGCCCCGCAAGTCATTGTATAGGCCACATCGCATTCAAACGCCACTACGAATGTTATAAATGGAACTAGAATCCCAAAAGGAATTGATCAACGGCAAATGCTTTTTATCCTTTTATCTCAGTACTTACACCAAAATTTCGGGCAGTACCTCTGAAAGCCGCGGGTTAGATCCCTGCCGCGGCTCGACGGAATGCAGTGCAAATGTGTGTAGTACCAGCGTGCAGGACTAGGTCACAGGCGACCACAATTTTAGACTAGCCTCGCAATTATTTTAGTTGCGTTCTTCTTGATCAGCGTTTTAACTGCTTGTGTGAGGAGATGGAGCTTCATCCTT